ACCTTGGCCAAAGGACTAAGACTACGTCCACTTGTGAAGGGAGTCTCTTGCTCCTCGAGGCTATATATTGCTTAATCTTTTATGGATACAATGGTGGTGAAAATATTTGGTTCTTACAAGGACTCAGTGTTATGTTCTAACTGTTGGGTTCTTGGTTTGAGGGTGTCAATAGGAAGAAGTAGAAGAAGAGAGAGAGTCCCTCCATTGGGTAACAATTCTTTATTTATACAACAATTCTTCTAGGGTTTACTACTACCTCTCCTCCTTCTGTGCTGATTTCGTGGGTCCTCCCTTCTGCAGCCTGCTACTTCCTCTGTCATCCGACGCCATTGTTTCTACGATCTCTGGTGGTTATACGCTCCATCTTTTCTCTACTCTACAACTGTCGTAGGTTTCAAGGTGGTCCCTAAGCCTCTAGGTTTACGTGGTGCAATGAGAATGATTCAAGTAGAGCATTTGGGTTTGGCTACAATTTTGGGGCTGATCATCAATTGGGCCGGATTGAGGTTGTATGTATAGTAAGCCCTCTGCTGATGTTGGGCTTTTCTCCTTTGGCTCGACCCTCTAGGCCAAAAAGATGTGGCCCAACTGTGAGTCTCATATTCGGATCGCTTTGTTGTGGACTCATGAAGCCCCATATCTCAGATTTCGTCCTCATCAATTCTTATTTTTCTTTATTGAAGGATAGAAAGTGTATCTCTCATACTTTTCATCATTCTTACCAAACGAAACATTATACTCTGTTTAGTATGAAGAAAAAATAGAAAGATGAAAAGTTGGAAGGATAGATAAAACATCATGTTTGGTAAGGAAGAAAAATGTGAATGATGGAAAAGTAAATGAATGAATTTTCCTTCTAACTCACTAAAATCAATTCCTCCAAAATTAGAAGGAAAGTAGATGAAAAATTAATTATTTGTATTGAGATATATTTTATTTATCTATTTATTCTTTAATATATACATATATTATGTATGCATTAATTTCATATATAAATATAATGATAAAATATATATTTATACTTCTTTTAAAAAAAATAAAATAAATTATAAATTAAAAAAATATTTTTTCCTTCTTACCAAGCACCAAAAAAAAATTAATCATTTTTATTTTTCATTCATCATACTAAACATAAAAAAAAAAAAAGTGTATCATTCATATTTTTCTTCATTGGATGATAGAAAATATAACCCTCCTACATTCCATTCTTTCTACCGAACAAAACATTACTCATTTGATGAATTATTATTTCACAAAAAAAAATTGCGGAATAAAAGTGTTTTGGGGGGATATCTATATTATGTTCAAAAATTATTTTTTTAAAAAATAGGGACATGTATCCATATATCCATTGCCATTTCAAGCATGGATGTATATGCTACATGTTATTTTACAATTGGAACAAGTCTAAATGAATTAAAATCAAGCATGGTATGTGTATTTATCTCACAGTAGTTCCCAATATTGTACACCTTTTGATAACTCTTTAGACATAAATATGTTACCACTTGATCTTTTTGAGACTTTCTCACTACTCCTTTACTATTCTTAAGGGGTCAAGTTGAAATACCATATATAAGTTGGGTGCTTTTGAAAATTTCTTAGCCCTATGGTGGTTCCATCCATGCTTATCAGTATTAAAATTTAGAGTAGTGTTATGTATTATAAATTTATAATCCAAGTTTACATTTCAAATTAAGGAGGACTATTAGATCAGTAGATGCCATCAACTTTTTTAAATAGGATTCACTAATTCAATAATTCTCTTTAATTTAAAATATAAATTTAAATTATAAATTTGAGATAAATACCTTTACTCCAAAATTTATAACTCTAATTAACTAATGAAATAGGCAATCATATCATTGTGTCGGGTGGAATCCGTAAGAAGTTCTGAGTTGGTGGATAAAATTAAATGACAGTAACTTTTGTGGGACCTGAGCTCGAAGGTGTGACATGTGGCCCCCACTAATTCCATCTTTTTTTTGATGCAGATAAGACAACCCATAATAGCTTATAAAAGAGCTGTCCAAAAGCAGTTAAACAACCCACTGACAAAAAGTATTGGGTGGCCAATTCAAGACCATGCACTTGTCCAATTCTCCCTTCTGCCTCATTGTAGTTTCATTACTATTTTTCAAATTTCCTACCCCCTCTCAATTCCCCCCTTCACCATCTTCTTGAGAATTCCAAAAATAGATTTTGATTTCAATTAAAATTTAAATTTGATTAGTCAAATATAAATTAATATATTTTTACGGATTATAAAAATTCAAATCTAATTTTGGTACATTATATATCATGGATTTATATTTGTGTATGCTAATATTTAAATTTGATCTGAACTACGCATTTATTTGTTATGCATAGGACAATCAATAAATCGAATTTTGATTCAAATTCTATGGATTAATATTTTTTATCAATGACTTGAACCCGATAAATCTTATCTGATTATGATTCAATCTGAATTATTTATATAATTTTATATTAATATTACAGTGATTATTTTAAAAAAATTAATTAAAATTTAGGTATAATTTATTAAAATTTAGTTAATTATGTTATTTGGATTTGAATTGTTAACGGATTTATATATGTATCACGAAAATAAAATCCGTCTGAAATTATCGGATTGAATTCGAATCAGACTTTTGAAATTGAATTCGAATTCAGATAAAACAGAATTCGATTCAAACTCAATCTATTGACAGGCCTAGTTATGTATGCAAAACACGCATGCAAATTTTCTTTTATATGCACGTTTTTTGCTTAAAAAGCACTAAAAATACAAAGCAGTTCATAATGCAGACCTATCTATCTACCTAATTAAAAAAAAAATATATTGCATATTTTTAAACAAATTAGATGAAAGATGCTAAATATAATCAATGTCGGTCAAACCAAATGCTTCACAATTGTTTATTTAATCATTAATTACCAAGAAAAATAAATTGTTCGATAAGCAAAAAAACATCGAACTTATTAACGTAAAATTCAATGGTTCACCAGACTGAAGATTTTAGTTAGTCATTTCTAATGGAGTTTCTTGCTCCCTAATTTCTATTACTTGAGGAAGAAGATTGTCGCACACACCAATTTTAAATATCTTTAAGATTAATTTTTGTCTTCATTAAAGATTGTGTACTTCTTTCAATCATTTAGAATTACGAGAAAAAAATTTCGTTGTTAAAAGATCTTTGACAATATTTCAAGTGCCCTTCTAGACAAAAGAACAATAGGATGTAAGTGGGAATACAATCTCAAACAACATCCCAATGGTTCTATCTCTAGCTTGGTACAAAGCCAGTGGCCAAGGGCCTTAATCAAGAAGCTGTGTTTGGAATATGATGAGATATTTAGCCCTGTGGTGAAACACATTGCAGTGAGGTTAATTCTGCCACTTGCTGTTCAGTTTAAATGGCATCTCAGGCAACTAGGCAACTTGATGTGAAGAATACGTATCTTCACGGCAGCTTAAAAGAGGAAGTTAATATGAGTCAACCTCCTGGCTACATTGATCCCTCTTTTCCCCACTATGTATGCAGGTTACATAAGTCCATTCATGGACTTAAGCAAGCCCCTAGGGATTGGTTTGAGAGATTCTCTACACATATTCACACTTATGGGTTTATCTCCTCCAACTCAGACCCTTCTCTTTTCATTTGCATAAGTAGCACCAGTTCCTCTTATACGTAAAAGATGAGGTGTCATCTTGGAGGTAATATCTTTGTGTCCTAGGTCGGGCTAGCTCACTCAAATAAATATTCACAGATACACTAATTGATAATACTGACATTATATAAGTTTAATCTATATCTATATCTATATTATTTATCGGTTTTATCCCTAATTATTATAATAAAGACAATTATACTCACTTATGTGCTTTTATCTAATTTTTATTTTTTTACTTTTTTTTGACTTTTAACTTGTTTTGTACTATTTTATACAGATTTTTAAATTCTTTTGAACTCATTTATTAGTAGTACAAGTATATACAATCTTATATATCTATACGAATAAGTAAAGTCTTGTACATGTTAAATTATTATACACATGTAATTATCAGATTGAATTCTACAATCAAATATATGTTATATTTTATTTTTTAGTATGTAATAATATAATAATATTATAAACGATCTAATCAATCTATTTAACAATATAAAAATGAATGATTCTATAATATAATTAGCTCTACAAATGCCTAAAATAAATGAACTTACAAAAAAATAAGTACTTAAAGACTTATAGAATAAACTAATAATTAAATTTAATAATAATTAAAATAAAAATTAATTTGACATCAAATTTATTATTTAATTTAATTACACATATATTCACCTTTTCTATAAAAAATATTATTTAAATTTATTTACGAGCAATGCAATTCGTGCATTGCTATTATATTTACTAAAAGATTTGACTAGAAAATTTTGGTACCATACTGAAAAATGAAATTTCGGTGTCATAATAAAATTTATTACATTTGTGATTACTCTTTTCATCTTTGTTGGTATTTTTACCACGATTGTAATACTAAAAAAAGGATAATAAAAATAGTTATTATAACAATATTAAAAAAATTCACAATAATAATAAAAAGAACTACAAATGTAATAAATTATTTATAAAAATAATAAATTTGATACCCATTTTTTTTTTGGGTAATAAATCAAGTCTTTTACTCAAAACACAACACCTACCAACCCAAAATGACGCAGCAATTGGATTCCCTGACCACCAATAGGTCCCATCAGGCCATCACACGTACTTGCCAGCCGAAAACACGAATAAGACACGCCCGAGGAACTAGAGCTATAAACTAGAGAGAGGAGGGGAGAGAGAGAGAGTGTGCGAAGGTTCTCCATTTGGAGAAAAACAATCAGAAGGCAGCGCACGATCCAGTCTACCCTTTTTTTGCTCTCACAATAACCAATCAATCATGCCATCAGGTGCAAAGAAGAGGAAAGCTGCCAAGAAAAAGAAGGAAATAGAGGCCAACAACGCCAGCTCTGCTATTCCCGCTAATGGTACTCTCACTCTTCTCTTTGCTCTTCACTTTTTCCAACTAATACATCTGTCACTCAATCATTCTATTATGTTGATGACCTTTATTCTTTAATCTGTCTCTGAAATTGGCTTGGTGGGTGTGTGTTAATTTCTCTTGTTTGGATTGATTCCCAATCGATTTTGCATACCCAATTGCATCCCAATTATACTCTCTCGCTCTCTCTCTCTGTATGTGTTTGTGTCAGTGTCTGTTGTGTCTGAAAATGGTTTGATGGTATGCGCCAGTGTCTCCTGTATTGTTTGATTTTGGGTTAGAAGTTCTTAACTAAACATTACTTCACAAGCCAATTGTCAGTACCTAAACACCCATATTGTTCTCGATTATATTCCATCTTTTGTTGATTGATACTAATGACTTTTGGCTCAGCTTACTTGATGGGTATGTGCTAATTTGTTTCCTTTTCTTCATGTTGTGTTGAATTCTTGTGAATGAATCAAACTATGGTAGGAGATGATGATTCGAAGGGCGATGATGAGAAAGAGAGTGATGGTGGGGAGGTTAGCTCTCCTGCATCACAGGACCACCATAACCACCAGCATCCGTTTACCGAGGGAGAGGAGTTAGAAGCGGAGAAGAGAGAAATAGAGGTGGAAGGTGGTCAAATTGATAGTGAAGCGAAGCCTTCTGTATCACAAGACAACCATAGCCACCAGCATTCATTTACTGAGGGAGAGGTGGAAGAAGTGGAGAAGAGAGAAATAGAGCTGGAAGGTATAGTTCAGATGGATAGGGAATTGAAGCCTGCCCATGAATCCGAGAGCAAGGATATAAAGATTGAGTATGTTGAACCTGAAAGGAAAACACATGAGAAAGGTTCGTGGGAGAGCTCTAGTAGTAGTTCGGATGATGAGTCACAAGTTGAGAAGAATGTATTATTGGTGGTGACAGCCCCTGTTGTTGATTCTGCTTCCCAAGTGGTAAATCAAGTAATGGATTGCAATTCTCTTGAAGACTCCCGCAGTTCATTTGTGGAAACTGCCCTTGTTGTGGACTTGGATCATGTTTCATCGTTCGATGAGGTGATTCACCAAAACGGGAGTGCTTCAGTGGATAAGTCTGTGAATTGTGATGTGGTTCAATCAGTGCTGAAGGAAAATGGGGAGAAAAAATTACCCTTATTGGATGGGAATGTTAGATTTTCACCAGTTGTGCTCGATTTGGGATCCCAAGAAAAGGAGAATGTAGTAGTCTCAAAATCAGATGAGAATGCTGTGGCATCTTCAGATGCAACGCAACAGAATCGTGATAAACTGTTGCCATCATACGATGCTCCTAGGAGTGATAATAGTAATGGTGTGGAGCATGCCAAAGATTCTGAGGTTCATGAAAATTGCTCTGATAGCCAGGTATAGCCCTATTATTTTCTTGCTTGAGGCATTGGCTTGTCACATGTTTGCTTCAATCTCAATGAATACATACATGCTTTATCAGAGGGTGATTTATTTGTTTTATTCATTTTAAATTTATATGCAGCCTCTCGTTGCTTCAGCTCCACAACTGGTGCAAACAACTTCCTGGAAGAGTTGCTGTGGACTTTTTGAGTTGTTCACAGACTCCAGTAGGTGATTTCAGGTGGGAAAGCTTCTATACTGTCCAAAATAGATGCGGACATGAGTTTGTTTTTATTGTTGCAATAAGACTAACCATGCGTTATGGTACATATTGTTGCCGGCTAAGAAACGACACTTTTAGAACTCAAGTGTGGTTAAGTTGAAAGTGGTACTGTAGGCTGGAGGAGAAAACTGAAGAAAAGAATAAGACGGGAGGAGAAGAAAAGAATGCAATGTGAAATAGGGTCTTAATCTGAGTTGAGATCATCCCTACACCCACGTATATATGTTAAACCTAATCCAGAAACTGACAATAGCACCTCTCATTTCTAGACTAGCAATTTAAGCCAAAACTCCCCCTCGAGGGGGTCCATAGTGTGCAAGTTGCATACACGTGAATGAAAAAAACTACTAAAAGGAAAGACATAGGAAGTTGGTTATCATGCTTCAGAAATGATGCATAAATCAAGCCTTTATCCTGGTTCTCCTCAAAGAATTGGTAATCAGTTTCAGCATATATTTTTGGGTTGTGAGGAATGTTGATGGTGATTTTATTGTCACCATTCCAAAAATAAAAATTTTGTTTCGATGCCTAGTTTAGGTCAGCTTAGATATGACGTGGCGGAAAAAAATTCAGAAATACGAAGATAATAAAGAAAAAATTTANCACGTCATAGGCACAGTTGTGTTTGATTATCGAAGATTCGCGTTGAACTTATGTGGTGATTGTATTTTGAACCATTCACACCAAAGTGGAAGTAATGCCTGTTCTATGAGAGATGAATATTGACCTTTGGAGATCATTCGAAAGCTGTAGGCTACTTTCAGTATGATCTGGAATTCTGTCTTGCTCTGTTTGTGAAGAACACAATTATGGAAAAGGCTAAAAAAAATAAGAAAAAGAGAATGCATCTGGCCAGTAGTTACTATTTAAAACAGAAGAACAATTCCAAAGTCTTTGTTTAGAAATGTAAAACTCCATGATTCAAATGGTACGTTTTGGGTTCGAGTCTGAGAATCATCATATTATAAACGGCACTAGGTATGACTTTCTTACGAACGGAGAATATATTTTGCTATTCTTTCCTTTTTAAGTTTGATGTAGTCTGAACAAAAAAAAAACTCAAATTTGCTCCAGAAAGTGTACACAAACAACTTCAAAATACTCATTATACATCACTTAATATTTGTCAAATACAAATGCAATCAAATCACACCTGTCAATAAACAACCTGCCAGTTCCCTGGCAAAATTTTGTAGGCAACCAATCGTGAGGAAGAGGAAATTTTGACACGAGAAAAAAAAAACATCAAACGTCTACCACACACCACACCGATTTTAAGATTTTCTTGTCAATGGAGCGCTATGAATGGCAGCTATGTATAGCAGTTGAGTAGCCGAAAGGATAATTAAGAATGCTTCCATTGTCCTCTGCAAAACAAACAAACGACTAGGTCAATTTTATGTAAATTTTCCCCAGTTTGTTAGGCAAGAGGATGAGATAAAGTAATTCATGACTATGTTTGTGATAGAGAGTCGGTTATATATTCACCAGACGAGCGTTTCTGATATGTAGTTCGATTTCTTTGCAGGCAAACCTGCAGAAAACATACGTGCTCATTAATTTTAAGAAAAAACTAGATAAAATTGGTTCAAAACTTCGACTGTGATGTTAAGAGATTCAATATAGATGAAATCGTGGAAGCTGGTGATATGGGATGGGTGATTACAAGTGATTAGACGGTTCCTACTTAGCAACAAAATCTAAGCAACACCTATTGTTGTCCACTCATATATTTTGCAAACTACAATCTACTTAGCTCATCAATTAACATGATAGTATTTTACCCCATGGCAAGGAGAGTAAGAGTCCAAGCAATAGTGGCAGCAGAGGCAGCTGAAGGCAGGCTGTCAACGTTCCAAGATCGGATATGATTGGCTCCGGAAATGGCAGATGCAACTCCAACAACACCAGCTAACAACGCAAACATTACAAAGAATCCGGTGGCAGCATTTCCCATCGGGAAATAGATAGGCGAAAAGTGAGCCGGAAGGTCAAATCCTGGACCTGTTAGTTAAAAATTTACATACAGGATTAGCATGACAAGCTTAATTCAAGTGCATGAAGTGTGAAAAGAGTTTCAATATTGAGAGGAAGCTGAGTTACCAATGATGAAGCCATGCTCAATAGCTCTATTCATTGCCCAACCACCAATGCCCAGAACCACAACATACATGCAGAGATTAAGGACCAAAAGAAGCATCGCGACGGGTTTTAGCTGGTCACCAGCCATTCTGGCCCTCTATAAGGTAGAAGATAGTGAAAAGTTTTAAGAGAAAGAAAGGAAGTGTAATGCAGGAAAGTTTAATACAGATACATGGAATTTATGCAAGGTTGGGGGGTGGGTCTTATAAGGGCCTAGGCTAGGGGGGTTTGGTTCTTTTCTTGCAAGGTTGTGTGTTCCAAATAGCTTTGTGGGGTTATAAAGATGATGCTTCAAATTGAAGGCAAATGTGGCAAAATTGGATGCTTTCTTTGCCAACATTTATAGGCTTTTCTTTTTGATTGGTACATTCTCTGATTAGGCTTTGTGTTGGTTCTAGTAGTTCTTTCCTGGGGGGAAAGTGATATTCCTTGACAGTTGCAGAGGATCAGCTGATGTGTTAAAACTGTGTGGTTCCACTTAATCGAATGGTGTTATCTGTGTGGGTCCACTTAGGATCCTATACTTGATTTTGATCCTCTCAATTTCAATTGTTTTCAATATATTGTATAGACTTCCTATTGCTTTTTTGAGTAAATTAGGCATTTGGCCCTCAAATTATGACTCTTATATTAATTAAGTCCTTAAACTTTATTTTTGTGAGTCAATAAAACCCCTAAACTANATAGACTTCCAATTGCTTTTTTGAGTAAATTAGGCATTTAGCCCTCAAATTACGACTCTTATATTAATTAAGTCCTTAAATTTTATTTTTGTGAGTCAATGAAGCCCCTAAACTGTCTAATTGTTTCAATCAATCCCTTATGTTAGGGTTTCTAATGGAAGAGTGTAGAGTGTGCCGATCACATGCCTTATTTAGGGTCATTTTAGGCAACCCCCATTAAAGACATGAGTAAATTATCTATTTGGCCCTCAAATTATGACCCTTATGTCAATTAAGTCCTTGAACATTGCAAATGGTTGACCTTTCGTTTGTGAATCTCAAATGATAATAGAGTTGCTCTATGAGATTCATAGATGAAAGACCAACTATTTCAAGGGTTTAATTGATATAAGGGTCATAGTTTGAAGGCTAAATACATAATTTATTCATGTCTTTAATTGGGTTATCTAAAACACCCCTAAAGAAAGCACGTAACCAGCACACTTCACATCCTTCCGTTAGAAACCCTAACACAAGAGTTTGATTGAAACAATTAAATAGTTTAAAGGCTTAATTGACTCTAAAAAAAAACATTCATGGCCTTAATTGACACAAATGTCATACTTTGAGAGCTAAATACATAATTTACACTTTTTATTTATTTATTTATAAAAGGATAGATGAATCATGTATTCAAATAAGACCCATTTATATATGTTATAATTTCACATGAATTCGTGTTGGGTGATTTTAAATGATGAAAAATCTCTAAAAGGGAACCGAAACAATTTCCAGACTCCTTGTGAAACTCACAATGATTTGCACGATGGATGTTTAAACTTGATTGAAATTCTTACAAAATAAAAAGGTTCCAATAATTCCCCTAAATACAATTACATTAAAAAGTGAATAATTCCCTCCTCAAATGCTTAATTTTTAAAATTTTGAAATATTTAATCACATATATCCAATCAAATGATTCTATTTGGCTTATTTAACCCATATTTTATAATTACTTTCACTATCTTTCAAATTTAAAATTTCACTTATATTTCTTCACTTTTTCACGTTTAATAAAAATTATTTTAACTCGTAAATGTGTAATTGTCCACTAATATAAGGGTTAGAAAATGGTGAAACAGGGTTATGGCGACGGTAACAAATTACGTGCATTGCACGGAACGCCCGTTAATCACTTACGGGTAATACTATTGAGACTTAAAAATTTGGGTTAATTTGTTGACCTAATAATATATTTTCAATGTAATCGTTGAATTAATAGCAAGTTTTAATATTTGATGAGACTTACAATCAAGCCAATGACTATATGAATTAAATTAATAAATTAGATCATTAAATTAAGTTCTAATAACATTGCTTATTTTTTATGTTCCGTTTGGTAGGAAGAGTAAAAAGTAGGAGAGTTACATTTTCTATCTTTCAATGAAAGAAAGTAAAAATGATACACTTTTCTTCCTTTGTGTTTGGTAGGATGGATGAAAAATAAAAATGATTAATTTTTTTCTTTTACCTCAGCTAAAATTAGAGGTGACAATCAAGCCATATCGTGTAAAGTTCGTGTTGAGTTGTTACGGATTTGTGTCGAATATTAGTCAAACCTAACTCAATTCATTTAACTAATTGTGTCATATTGAATTGACCTATTTATTTTCGTGTCTTATCCGTGTTCGTATTCGTTTTGACCCACAATAAAAAATTTAACTTTAATATTCTATTTTCACTTAATTGAATCTATGTTCATATTTTTTATACAAACTAAAAATTAACTTAAATAAATATAATAATAATAATAAGTAAAAATATCTTTTTTATATAATAATTATAAAAGTACTTAATAAATAATTAACTTTTCATTCACTTTTCTTTCGATTTTAGAGGGATTGATTTTGGTGAGTTGGAAAAAAAATTAATCCATTCACTTTTTCATCCTTCATACTTTTTTTTTACTTATCAAACATGATATTTTTATTTATTTTTTCAACTTTCCATCTTTTAAAATTTTCTCTCTTTTACTTTTTTTATCCTACCCACCGCAGCTAGTGGTTAGAATTTTTGTTAATTTTTTTTTTAATTTTACTACCCAAATGGGTCCATCTCATCTACCACCAACAGTACAAGTGGGGCCCTGTTACAAATTGCTACTTGTGCCCCTCCTTGACCTCAGCCCTCAAAATGCTACCCAACAACCAATGCTCTCTCTGGTGACCGTTGTTGCTCCGATGAACAGTCATGCTAACCTTTCCCGCCATAATACAAAAACTCATACCTTCGCCCAAATCATTCCACATCTCACGTATTGCTTTACTGAATACTGTCACAAAACCCTCCAATTCTTTCATGGGTATTTCAAGTTTTACCCAACGGAGCACTTCCTCTTACAGTTCAATACTCTCAGATCACCTAAGGACGCAAAGAATCGACGAAGCTCGTCTGTTTTTTGATACAATCCCATCTCCCAGTGTATATTTATGCACTAAAATGATAGGAGGCTACACTGAAAACTATAGACTTACTGAGGCACTGAAATTGTTTGACCAAATGCTTGTTAAAGACATAGTTATGTGGAATTTGATGGTCAAAGGCTGTTTGGATTGTGGGGATTTGGATATGGGTTTTAAGCTTTTTGATGAAATGCCTGAAAGGAATGTGATTTCATGGACAACAATGATAACTGGATTGTTGAACTTTGGGAGAGTTGAAGTGGCTGAGAGGTTGTTTCTTGACATGCCAACGAGGGATATAGCTGCTTGGAATGCTATGATTTATGGGTATTTTGGGAATGGTAGAGTGGAGGATGCTATGAAGTTGTTTGAGGCGATGCCTTGTAAGAATGTGATTTCATGGACTTCAATGATTAGTGGGCTAGATCAGCATGGGAAAAGTCATGAGGCTCTGTTTGTCTTTAGAAAGATGGTGGATTCTGGTGTTGAACTGACATCGAGTACGTTTTCATGTGTAATAACAGCTTGCGCTAATGTGGTGGATTTATGCCTAGGTTTTCAGGTTCATGGGCATATTTTCAAGCAAGGTTACTTGTTTGATGTGTATATAACTGCATCACTCATCACATTTTATGCAAATTGTAAGCTAATGGATGATTCTTGCAGGGTTTGGAATGAGAAAATGCATATGAATGTGGTTGTATGGACTGCTCTTTTAACAGGCTATGGTTTGAATGGTAGACATGAAGATGCATTGAAGGTTTTGGGTGACATGTTAAGAAATGGGGTCCTTCCCAATCAATCTTCTTTCACAAGTGCCTTAAATTCATGCTGTGAAATGGAGGCTGTTGATTTGGGTAAGGAGATTCATGCAGTAGCTGTCAAGCTGGGGCTTCAAACTGATGCTTTTGTGGGTAATTCTCTTGTTGTATTGTATTCTGAATGTGGAAATATGAATGAAGGAGTAGGCATATTTAACGAAATAGCTGACAAGAACATTGTATCGTGGAACTCGATTATTGTTGGATGTGCGCAACATGGGTGTGGCATGTGGGCACTAACATTCTTTAGCCAAATGATACGTGCTGAAGTTGACCCAGATGATATTACATTCACTGGTTTGCTTTCAGCCTGTAGTCATTCTGGGATGTTACAGAAAGGAAGAAACTTTTTTCAATATTTACACCACTCTATGTCCCTCAAGGTAAAATTTGAGCACTATGCCTGTATGGTGGATATCTTGGGCCGAAGTGGGAGATTGGTTGAAGCGGAGGAGTTAGTCAAAAACATGCCAATGAAAGCAAATTTGTCGGTATGGTTAGCTCTGCTTAGTGGTTGCAGGATGCATTCTAATTTAGAAGTGGCTGAAAGAGCTGCAAAAAGTATTTTTGATCTTGATCCAAATTGCGGTGCTGCTTATGTCTTGTTATCTAATGTGTATGCTTTTGCTGGTAGATGGAATGATGTTGGAAGAATTCGAGGGAAGATGAAAAGGAGCGGAAGCATAAAACAACCAGGATGCAGTTGGGTTAGTCTAAAGGGATCAAGGCATGAATTTCTTTCTGGAGATAGGTCTCACCATTTAAGTGAGAAAATATATCGAAAGCTGGACTGGTTAGGAGAGAAGCTGAAGGAAACCGGTTATATCCCTGATCAAAGGTTTGCTTTGCATGATGTTGAGGATGAACAAAAGGAAGCGATCTTGTCTTACCATAGCGAGAGGCTTGCTATTGGATTTTGTCTGATTAGTACGGTGGAGGGGAGTACGATAACAGTAATGAAGAACCTTCGTGTTTGTGGGGATTGCCATTCTGCCATTAAGCTCATACCAAAACTTGTTGGGCGTGAGATTGTTTTGAGAGATTCTAGCCGCTTTCACCACTTCAGGGATGGCTTTTGTTCTTGCAGAGATTACTGGTAGCACCATTGCTTTTACCTTTGAAATGTTACAAAGATTTGAGATCTATTCAGGAGGGTCAAGATGTTTCTTGGTGTGGTTACTGGTTAAGCACTACTAAGTCACAATCTATGGCCAAAAAGAGGAACACTGTTTATAGATTGCCAAGAAATGTAAATGCCTCTGCCAGTGCAAAAACACTGCAAGCATGTTTTAAAGAACACCCCTTCTGGTTTGAAATTACCAGTAGAGGTATTGGTTGAAATGATTTGTTATTCAGCCTATAGTTGTGACCTGAGGTCATGTGTTTGAGTCATAGAACCAAGATCTCCACGCACACAAGGAATAAGTACAAATACATCTGACACTTCTCAAACTACACAGTGACGGGGAGCGTACATTTGGGCTGCTCCAATTGGTTGAATGGTGAATTGAAAAGTGAAGACCGGAAATGTTCACAGAAATGGTTCCTTATTTTCCAGTTCGAAAAACCTTGCTTTGGCGGTGCTGATTAACCAGTTTTCACAGCGTAAGCACACCGCAGTTTGAGTTGTGTTGGTACGAAATTTTACGTGAATGTAAATAGTTGAATTAGTAGAAGTGTCAAAACAAGCCCTTATATAAAATACCCTAATGATCACAGTCCATATAAAGCGTTAGCATTTCAATGCTACAGGCGCCAAAAACTCTCATTCGAAACCCACCCCCCTCTCTCTAACTTTCTCTCTGTAGCAAGAAAGAAGCCCTCACACTCTGCAACTTCAAGCACACTACCAGCGTCTTACTTTCTCTCTCTCTCTACATGCATATGAATGTGTGTGCAAGTCTATATACAATGTTCTTGATTAATTTCTGAAACTTTGTTTGTTGTTGAAAGATCATCCATGGCGGAAGGTACAAAAAATGGAGCCGATTTCACTGAGAAAGATAGGAATGCCAACGAGGAAGAGGAAAAAAAAACCTAAAGGCTGCAATCGAACTATTCAAGAGCAATCGAGAGGTCATCAACAAGAAGCTGAACGAGTTGCGAATTGAGTATGATGGCGATCACAAAGATCTTAATCTTCAAGGTTCTGAAAATGCCGAAGGAATCAAACAGAAAATGTACGGATTGATGAATGAAATTAATAAACGAGATGATTTGAAGAAGGCTTTGAATGATCGGAAACGATCTGTTCAACAAAGTCAAGGTCTCTCGCTCTCTCTAATTGATTATTTTTCTGTATAAATTATTTAATTCTTTTATTGTGGATTTCTGTATCGCTGGAACAGGAACAGAATTCACAGAGCAGAACTGCAATGAAAAGATAGAAAACGAAATTCCCAGCAAACTTCTAATATTGAGCCATGGGGTTCAAGAACCAGACCAGAAGGCGTGTAAATTTTTATTTTTCATAAGAAAAAGATGTATAAATTCGAAACTGAGTTGTCACATGAAGAAGAAAGAAGCAAAGAGAAAATGGGGGGAAAAAGTAGGAATATTCGAATTTAGCAATCAAGAAGTGAAGAAGAATATGAAAATGTTTAGGCTTGAGCTTGGTCGTTGGGATCACTATCTTGAAATTCCTGCGAAATTTGAAGATCATCTGAAGGAGGCCTTGAATGGGATCCAGAAAATGTATAATCTGAAGAAGTTGAAAGAGACTCTGGAAGAGTCTGATCAATTTAATGATCATACCAAAGGCGATTGTGAATGGATGAACAAGTTGAATGTGAAGTGGAAAGACTGTGATCGATCCGTTCTTAGCATTGTTCTTGATGATGTAGAAGATAAAGAAGTGATGAAAAATGATGTAAATGAGAAGCAGAAAAGGACTAATCAGTTGGATGAAAAATCTGAGGCCTTAGAAGAACAGATATACAATCAAAAGGAACAAATGAAATCACAACTTGTAAAGCTCAGAGCAATGGTGAGAAGGAATCAAACTGAGGGCAGAGTCAAGGATTCGAAGGAGACGACGACTGAGGAAGAAGAGGAACTAACAATGGTAGGTGGTGTTGCATCAAGGGATAAGTTGCCAGATACAGAAATGGACTGATGGGATTGAAGCTGATATCGGCCACCATTGCGGTAGTTACCGGAGCTTTGACAGCAATGGTTGCTCTGTTTTTTCTCAACATTTTCTAGGCAACTTGCACTGAAATGGTTAGAAATTACGTAGTGTATGAGTTCTTAGTTGATTTTACTTGAATTGCTCTTTGATAAGTTGATCCATGAATTTTTCTTGCTAATAGCTCACATCCAATTTGATAATTCTCTTCAGATTATCAATTTGCCACTGGTCCGGTCTGATAGCCACCGTCTTCACTGTATGAGTTTAAACTTCGTTTTCTCCTTTTTGTAATAATGTCTAACCAACAAAAAACATAATATAACGTTAGAGTCACACATATTACATAGCTGAGCAGCTAAATTGACATAAATATTAATTCAAAGGCTTAATTAATATAAATAGAGCAATGCTATGTATACCAAAATTTGTACTAAATCACTTGTAGTCGTTGGATTAGTGAATCTCATCATTGAAACAACTACTACAGTTGATTTGATGTAAGTTTCGGTACACATAGAATTATCCTAATATAAAAGTCATGTTAGTAGTTAACTCTTCTTATCTATATCTATATCTATAGTACTACTTATAAATGTAAACATATGTGAAAAATTTTTAAATTTTTATTTTATCCTTAATTATTATAATAAAATCAATTACACACCCATATAAATTTTTATATAATTTATATTTTTTACACCTATTTAACTTTCAACTTGTTTTGGACTTTATAAGAAGTTCTAAATTTTATCGAAATTATTTATTAGTAATATAATTATATACAATTTTATATATCTATATGAAGAAGTAATGTCCTATAGAAGTTAAATATTATACACATGTAGTTATCAAGTTTCCACGGTCCAATATATATATATATATATATATATATATATATGTGTGTGTGTGTTTTTTATATGCAATAATAATAATAATAATATTATAAGCTATGTAATCAATCTAGTTAATAAAATATAAATTAATAATTATATAATATAATTAGATGTGTAAACGTTTAAAGGGGTCTCAGAAATACCTAAATAAATAACATATTAGGTACTCAAAAACTTATAGAATAAATCAATAAGTAAATTTAAAAATAATTAAAATACAAATTAATTATTTAACACCTAATTTATTATTTAATTGAATTACACATATAAATCATATTTTCTATAAAAATAATATTATTTAAATTTGTCCTTGCTAGTAATACAAGATGACCTATCATTTAGGAAAAATAACATATAACCCTTATTTATTCTAGACAAAAAATGTGAAATACTATCAAATTTTCAGTCAAACAACTAAACCTTATTTTTTCCAACATAATTCAAAAAAGTAGTAATTCTATTATCCTTCCATTTTTGCCCATTAAGGCGTTAAATCTCATGTAGAACCTTATATATTTGGTGTGAAACCCAACCATGCATTGCACGATATCTAGTAAACGTTAGGAATTAATGTGTAATTTATGATGATTAATTTAAGAGTTAAATTATAGTTATGAAAATTATGGTAGTTGGGGAAAATTTTGAATTATAAACCTAGGAGTTGATTTTTGTGATAAGAATTGTATATGGTTATGAACTATAAAAAAGGGGAAATGTTCTGGGTGTAATTTATAAGTGGTCATAAGGTATGTGGTGTGTGTGTGAATGGGTGAAACTAAAGGGGACCTAAGGGTAAATGGGTGTAAAAGGGTGAATCACAAGAGACTTTGTCTCTTGCTCAGCGTGAGAAAGAGAGAAGAAAGAAAAAGGAAAGGAAAACGAACTCAGAAGGCCAAGAGTGAAGAGGAACTTAGCTGTGTTACATTTTGAAATTTCGGGTGGGATGGATTAAAGGGTATTCCTATCGGTAAGAAACTTTTCCTAAAACCTTATGTATTTTGTTGTTAAAAGTTTATGAAAAAGAGTTTGGTTTCCATTGTAAACAATGGATTCGGTTTTGGTTTTATGAATTGGATTAGGATTGCAGTGGACCAAAGCGGGGACGGAGGTATAGTCTCCATCTTCGTACCCGTTTTAAAAAACTCTGTTCAACCTCGGTTCATTCTCATTAACGGGTATATTTTTCATCTTNAATGTTTTTAAGAAAAATGAGATAACTTCTCACACAGGAGTCTGATTGTAACTAATGACCTATGGTTGGAAAGCTTGAGAAGCCTACTTTAAGATGGAATTGGTTCTATTATGAAATTCATAGTTTATGANAAGCCTACTTTAAGATGGAATTGGTTCTATTATGAAATTCATAGTCTTAACTGGAAGTCTATGGATTGATCAATCAATCTAACAGATAAACATCTACATGGAAATGAAGGTGTTGGATTTGTATAATTCAAACCTTGGGATTCATTTGTACTATAATAAATTAGATGGCGAATTGGGAATGTGTTGTCACCAACATGATTATACATTCATGCATATGTATACATAATATATTATATATGTGTCTTGTGACAACGTGTGATAGATGCGGAGGCGACGATGTTAATATCAGGTCCACCTAAGCTATCGAAGGAGAAGTGAACTTGGGTTGATATTTGGTTTGAGGTGAGTTATTGTCTCATATTAATTGAAAATGTGCTCGACTATTATAAGCTATATATATATATATATACTAATAATAATTCGTGCCTGAAGGCACTAAGCAATTAAAAAACCTCGATTACCAGTAATACAATATAAATATTTCAAACAATACTTTATTTTTTATTATTTTCCTTAGTTACACAATTCAAAATTAATTTGAAAACACTATTTTAAAAAAAAATTGATAAAAACTTCTCTAAAAACACGACCCCTAAAAAATATCAACATGTACACAATTTATATATTTAATCATTGTACATAAAAAATATCTTTTTTTTTTTTTTTGTAGAAATCAATATTGACATGTGTGTGTTGATGGGTTATAGTGAGAGAGAGAGTTATATGAGAGATGTGATAAACTTATGAGAGATGAGAATATGATATATAGAGAGAGATTTGGGTATTAATGAGTATTAGATGTATTATGTTATTATTAGCTATGTATATATATAGTTGTCCAAGCCAAACTCTCAGAAGATAGAGTTATATAAGAGATGAGAGTGTGTGAAAGAGAAAGAAATGTAAAAGAACTAAAAATCTAATTAGGATCATATAGATATAGATATAGATAGATAGATATAGGATGACACACATGGGTAGAGCTACATAGGGGCGAGGGTGGACACGGGTCCATCTTCAATTTTGTTAAAACAATATGATATATATATATATTCTAAAAGTTATACACATATTTTTTTACTTGTGCTCACTCTATAATTTTCATATTTTAATTATTTAGTATTTTTTATTATAATAATATGATTTTCTTCAGATGACCTTCATTTTATTATAATTTTTTGCAAATGAAAGTTCTTTCAATTGATCTTCATTTGATTTTATTTTTTCTACGAAAAATTATCTTTTATTTTTATTTGAGTATTGATTATAGTCTTTATTATGTGTCAATCGATTTTTAATTTTTTTTCTATGTCTCTTAGATTTTAGTTTAATTGTTTTATTATACTAATATTTTAGTGATAATGTTTAAAACATCATTTATTGAATAAATTTAATAAATTGTAAGTGAATAATTGATATTTTTTAATTATAAAGATGACAATTAGCTTTACTTTTTACATTGGTGATAATTAGTCAATTTTTTATACATATATATATATATATATATATATATATATATATTATTTATTGGCCTTTTTATGTTAAATGANAGAGCCCTCACAGTCTCTGCAACTCCAAGCACGGTATCAGCGTATTACTCTCTCTCTTTCTCCGCATGAATGTATGTGCATTCTTGATTGCTTTCGCTAACTTCTGTTTGTTGTTGAAAGATCGTCAATGGCGGACGTTACAAAAGAAGATGGCGATCTTACTGTGCAAGACATCAATGGCAACAAAGAAGAGGACATAAAGAACCTTCAGACTGCAATCNCATATATATATATATATATATATATATATATATTATTTATTGGCCTTTTTATGTTAAATGAACTTCATGTATCAAATATGATATAATAAATATAAATATATTATACAGTGTTATTGGTTAAGAAAAAAAAAATTAAAGTCTATATTAAAGTGTCCATCCTAAATAAAATTATTGCCTCCGCTCCAGATGACATATTTTAATGAACCTATAATTTATTAGAAATAATCTTTGTTATTATATTTTGTTATTTTATATATATATATATATATATATATATATATATATATATATATATATATATATATATATGAGAGATGGAAGAGTGTGTGTTTAAAACTTGTAAGAGATAGCAGAGAGAGCATGAGATAGAGGGAGAGAGAGTTGTATCAATTAGTATGAGATAAGAAGAGAGAGGAGATGAGATAATGTGTTTAAAATGTCTAAGAGATAAGAGAGAGAAAAAGAGTTATATGAGAGATAGGAGTGTTAGAGTTAAATTCAATTATGATCGTCGAATCAGTATTTTTGAGATGATCTGAACTGTGTTTTATGTTGGAATTATGTTGTCCGTTGAATTTGTTTATGTTTTGTCTCAAAACGATCTGGACCTCTCTTTATCTCTAGAATTCAAACTTCGTTCTACTTTATTATATATATATATATGTGTGTGTGTGTGTGTGTGTGTGTGTGTGTGTGTGTGTGTGATAATAACTTAATTGTGTGTTGAAGGGTGCTGTTTTGTGCGATGATGATTAGATTTGAATTGAAGAATTATGTGGAATTTGTGGTTTAAACTGGCGAGACTATTGGGTATAAGCAGTCGATGTAATAGCTGAGACTCCTAAGCTTGCTGTAATATTGTGATTTGTAAATGCTAGTTTTAGTATTATGGGAAAAAAGTTAATTTTATTACTGCACAGGTTAATTACTGCTACTTAATTATGGATTTAAGATTAATGGGTTTGGAATTACCTGCACTCTATCTCTTTTTTTGGAATTGGATGTGATATTTGGAGCCAGCTATTATATTTATTTTTTGTTTTAAAATAAATTAAATTTTATGAACAAATTATTTTTTAAAAAATAAATAATATTTGGAAAATTTTCAATCACACCCCCTCTAAATAAATATATCTTCAATGAGACCCCTTCATTTTTTAACTTTTTTTACATATTAAAATTCAAGTCAATTAAAATTCGATTCAAGTTAATTAAAATTTGAGCCAATTAAAAATTATTTTTAATCGACTCAATTCAAATTTTAATCAACTCACATTGAATTTTAATCAACCCAAATTTAAATAAATAAAAAATATAAATTTTAATTGACTCGAATTTTAATAAATCGAATTTTAATTAACACGAATTTTAATAAATAAAAAATATAAATTTTAATCGACTCAAAAGAGAATTTTAATCGGTGCTAACAACTCAAGTAAAGTTTAAATCAGCTTAAATTTTAATATATAAAAAATAAATTTTAATAGCCTCAATTTTTTTTAAATTTACGAATTAATAAATAACAAATTAGTATTTACTAACAAATTAGTTATTAAAATTGTTATTTACAAATTTTTTTAAAAATTTTAACAGTTTGAATTTTAATAAAATTTTATGTAGAAAAATTACTTGGGGTTTGTGTAAAGGCATTTTTGGTATTTTAGATGAATTTTTTTTGTTAGAAATGATAGTTTAATAGTAAGGGGTATTAGTGATGTTTAAATTAAATTAGAAAGAATGTAATTGATGTTTTTAATAATAAAAGAGATATCTTTAAAGATATAATAAATTAAGAGGAGTGTGAGTGATATTTTCCCGTAATATTTCTATTCAAACCTATCCAAAAGGCAAGATGATAAAACGCAGTCGCTTGCGGCGAGGCATGGGAGATGGAATAGATAACTATGCCATTTGTTTGTTTTTTTATCACAGATAACTATGCCATTCAAGTCAGTACACGAAATACCTAAAATACCCACATTCGTCATCAGCCTATATATAGCCTCGTAGCGCTTGTGTTACCGCCAAAGACTCTCATTCGAAACATCTGTCTCTCTCTCCAACTTTCGCTCTCTAACAAGAAAGAGCCCTCACAGTCTCTGCAACTCCAAGCACGGTATCAGCGTATTACTCTCTCTCTCTCTCTCCGCATGAATGTATGTGCATTCTTGATTGCTTTCGCTAACTTCTGTTTGTTGTTGAAAGATCGTCAATGGCGGACGGTACAAAAGAAGATGGCGATCTTACTGTGCAAGATATCAATGGCAACAAAGAAGAGGACATAAAGAACCTTCAGACTGCAATCGAACTGGTCAAGCGTGATCGAGAGGTCTTCGAGAAGAAGTTGAATGAGTTGCGAGGCGTGTTTTATGAAGAACACGAAAATCTTGATCTTGAAGTTTCTGAGAACGTTCAAGGAATTGAACCGAAAATGTACGGTTCCAATGAGATTCGGAAACGGTCTTCTCAACCAAACCAAGGTCTCTCCCTCTCTCTCCATGAATACGGTTTACATATACCATTACATAGATTCGTATTATTTTTTTTTTGTTGATTGATTTCTCTCTGTAAATTTCTAATTGTGTTTTTATTGATGAAAAATTAGAGAATGAAATTCCCGACAAATTTTCGAAAGTAAGAGACGGTGTTCAAGAACTAGACCAAAAGATGTATAATTTTGAAACTGAGTCGATACATGACAAGAGAAGCACAGAGGAAATGGGGGCGAAAAAAGGAGTAATCGAGTTGNAAGCAAAACTGGAGTCACCACTGGATCAATCAGAGAAACTGCAACCGGTTGATCGTGATCGGAGAGACAAATTTCAAAGCCAAATGAAGAAAATCAAAGCAAAACTGGAGTCAAAACTGGATCAATCAGAGAAACTGCAAATGTTGAATGGTGTTGCATCAAGGGGGAATTCGCAGGATGCAGAGAATATCACGAAGGTATTGAAGCGGATCGCTGTTGTCACTGCTCTGTTTTGCCTCAGTATCTTGAAGGCAAATGCACGGAAGAGCAAGAAGTGAAATGGTTAGAATGCATTACTCAATTGTGAGGCATATGACGTTTTAGTTGCTTTGACAATTGTTTTGAATTGCTCTTTGATTCATGATTCTTGTTAACTGCTACATTGCATTTCCTGAAGGGTAGATGACTAGCTATATAGAATAAAAGATCTGAATGCACCTCTTATGGTCTGTCTGATCACAATAGCAGATGATTTTAGCTTTTTAGTTAATAGATTTGTCTGAGCTTCCTGGTTTCTTTGATTTGTGGTATTCTAATCATAGTAGGTTGATTGCAGGCACTAGTTTGTCACACTTCACTTTTAAGCTTCATAGTAGGTTGAAGAAAATCATAGTAGGTTAATTAAACTTCACTTTTAAAAAATAAGAATTTTTCCTTTAAAAATTATATTTTTTTATCACACTTTCAGCCGTCTAACTTAAAAAAAATGTAACTTGACCTCAAAAAATTATAGTTTCTAACACGGTATGATACTGTAATCTTCTTTTGTAAATATCTTACCCATGTGAATTCTTATCTTGTTTGTATATCTATATCTATATAATAAAATAGGTAGATTGTTTGTCTTGAGTTTTTTGCGAACTTTTATTCTTTTTATATCTCTAAAACTCCTATCACTCATATAACTCTCTCACTCTCTCTCATACTATTGTCATTTTTTTTGTTTGCACTGTGTTGTTTTTGTTATTATTTACTCCATAAAAATAAAATTACATATTATACAATTATTTATTTAATGAAATTAATTCAAAATTTTTATATATCTGACAACATGTATTTTCTCATTACTTCTTAATTTGTAAATAACATTTAATGTAAATAAAAAATGACACATTGACTATAAACACTAAATAATATTCAGCACGAAATGAGCCTTAAATTGTAAATTAATATATAATTTTATCAAAAATTGATATTTAATTTGTCCAATTTATATTCAACTTTATCGAATTAATATCAAATTAATTATTATTATTATTATCAAATTAATATTGAAATTCATTTAATCAATTTTTTGGGTATTAAATCAAATTTTATTTGATTTTATTAAATTTTTAATTTTTTTGGTACTAAATTTGAAGAAGGACAATTGTAAAAATAATAAAATATTTTAGGATGAAATTATCAATTTTCGTTAGCATTATTGATTGAAGGGAGACATAATAGGGGGTCTCCATACAATAAATTTCAAACCTTAGGGTCTCTTCATGTTATTTATAAAATGTCAGGAGGTGTCTGTATAATATTGTCAAAACTCAAAAGCTATNTGTTATTTATAAAATGTCTGGAGGTGTCTGTATAATATTGTCAAAACTCAAGAGCTATCTAAGATTATTACTCTCTTTTTTAATTAAATATTATTTTATCTTAAACTTGAATTATTGTATTTCTAATAAAAATAGTTATTGGTTAGCAGGGTTTGTTGGTAACAAAAAAAAATGTGAGTGGGATTGTTTATGTTTTTATTTATATGTGGAGGATTGGACATTTGGTGATTAAATTTATAATTAAATTGTGTCATTTGGGGTTAAACGGTGATAATGGTGATGAATTCATGAGCTTTATAAATGAGTAAGATTTGGTTGATTTTATTTATCGTTTAAAGATTATGAATTTAATTTTGTTCTGTTAATTTTTTTTTTTTAGGTATTTATTATATAGGGATAAGATAAATTAAAATTATGGTGGTTGAGTTTATAATTATGTTGTGTTATTGGATTGAGCGGTAGTAGAGATGATAAATTAGTGAGTTATATAAATGAATAAGATCTTATTTATTTTATTTATTACTTAAAGATTGTAAATTCAATTGGTTATGTTAGTATTTGTTTTTTTTTTCAAAGGCATTTATATATATAGGGTTATTTTGAAGAGTTTTTCTATATTTTTATGACAGTTCCATTAATATGGATGATATAGTCGACAATATATTTCAAGTCATTTTGAAAGAAGAATTTGTTTGAATATTTTTAGATCATTCCTTTAGAATTTGAACAATTATTTAAGATTTTTTTGTTTATTATATAGTGCCTTCAAGCACGGGTAATGATTAATAATTCTATAAGGACCATATTTAGAGGCATAATTATAGACCAAAATTCATCGTCAAAGATTATATCAAAGAACAAACTCTATCAACCCACAACAACACCTCTAAAACATTGGGAAAAATATAATGACCACACATCAAAAGATCAAAATTGCATAGAAAAGCAACTTACATGGTCTAAAACATAGCAAGGAATAAACGTGTTCTGTTCTCCAAAAGCATTAATGAGAAGACTCCACGGCAAATGAAGTTCATTACTTCATATAATGTAATAATATTTCCTAAGCCTAAAAGCTCATTCATCCTCCTGGCTGCGCAACCTGGCAAGCTTGTTTGTGACAACAACGTCAAGCTGAGCAGCACGCTCCACAATCTCTTTCCTCTTCCTTGTGGACACATTGTGTGCAATCTCTGCACAGTAAGTCCTGCCAAGCAATAAGATTGGAAAAGCAATAGCCAAGTTAGGGGACTGAAAATTAAAAAACAGAAACAAAGTTTGACTGAAACAGAGAATGGCAAAACCTTGTGATGTAAATTAGTCCTTCTTGATTAGTCCCAGCTTGGGTTGCTATTGGACCACTTTGACAGGTATTATCTTGTGCAGTTGGAGCATAGTTCTTCGTTTTGACCTGGTCCACTGAGAACATTGAACAACACTATAAGCTAAACCAAAATTAAAAAAAAAAAATTATTAAAGCACAATGAATCATGCTTACAGGTATCTTGACCCTTGGACATTTTTGATCAACAAAACCTTGTGATGTAGCTAGTCCTCCTTGATTAGTCCAGTCCTCCTTGATTAGTCCTAACTTGTGTTGCAGATGGTCCTGTTGGTGTATGAGATGGTGCATCATCTTGGCCATTGTCCTCTTGTGCAGTTGGGGTTGGGGTTGTTGTATTGCACTTTCTCTTGTTGTGTCCAATTTGACCACATTTACCACATTTAATGGGTTTGTACTTCCTCTTTAATTTTGTTCCTGATGGGGGTTCATCAATCTCCCTCCTCCTAGCTTTCTTAGGCCTACCAGGCATTCTACCTACATGTGGAGGAAGAATATGTGAATACCCAGTCTTAGGTTCCTTTCCGTTGATTGGATTCATATGGTGGCTATAACGCTTTAAGAATGTTTGCAACTTGCACCAATCAGTTACATTATCCTCTGGTTGTAACCCCAAGTAGTGAAGAGCAGACACTGCATGCTTACATGGAATTCCTGTTAAGTCCCACTTGTTGCATCTACAACTCCTATCTTTCACATTTATGGTTCTTTGCTCACCATACATCCCCACCACCTCAAATTTGTGGTCTTCATTCTAAGTTGGTATGTAAGCTGCAGACTCCATTTTAACAAACTCCAATCTCTTTTGTATGTTAGGACATATAGAGGCTTTGTAGTTGTTGAGGAAATCTCTTTGTCTATGTATTTTTTCCATGAGCCACACTCTGATTTTCTCAAGCATAGTTATAATAGGTTTGTCTCTAGCCTCAACTATGCTATCTTTAAAACTCTCACACAAATTGTTCAACAACATGTCACATTTGGGAAATGTACTAAAGTGGGACCTAGATCAATTGACTGTTGGTCCATCACACAACCATTTGTATGCATCTTCATCAATCATATGTAATTCATCCATTATTCCTTTAAAATCAACCAAGTTTGTAGACTTAGCAGCCCTCCACAGCAAATCTTTTAAGGCCAAACCCTTATGCTCTTTTGAAGTTGGTGTACAAGTGCCTAACACAAAACCTATGGGCAGCATTTGGAAAAATATTTTCAATTGCATCTAAAATTCCGTGCAGCAGATAAGTACATATATTAAGTCAATGCATGTAAAGGTCAAACAAAGTAAATAAAGGTCAAAACAATGTAACTATTGGTCTAACCTTCTGCTTATTTGAGATAAATGTCCAAGCATGTGAACTTACAATATTCAGGTCATCTTTCACCAGCTGAAGGAACCAATTCCAAAATTTTTTCCTTTCTTACTCCACCACAGCAAAGGCAAAGGGGTACATTTGATTGTTGGCATCAATCCCCACAGCTAACAATAAAATATTAGTTTGTGCCCCCTTAAGATGACACCCATCCACACTAATTAATGGCATGTATCCTTCAATCAAGCCCACTTCAATGCACCAAAAAAAATGTATAATCTCTTGAATTTGACTTGTTCACTACCTGTAGATTTGGTTTTCATTATACACTTGGTTCCGGGGTTAGTTCTCCTCAATTCTTCACAATAATCCCACCGCAGAGCATATTGCTCCTTATTAGTCCCACTAACATATGTCATTGCTTTAAATTTTTCCCTATACACCTAACTTCTATGCATATATAGAACATTTTACTTATCTACTGTTTCCTTAAGTGATTTCATTGGCCATGTTGGGTTTGATCTGATCCTCCCAACATATGTACTAGCTATCCACTTAGCATTTATTGTCTTCACCTTGAAAGATCTACTATAGTTGTGATCTTTGATGAGACTTTTCTGAAATACTCCAAAATGAAGACACGTGTCCTCGGTGTCACTAAAAATTCTGTTACTGAGATCACGTACCATCGGCTTACAACTCCATCGCCCCCGAGGTGCTTGACATATGGTCAAGTACGTTTTACGAACTGACACGTATCCCTCGGTCTGATATGGTACCTCAGTCGCCATGTACAGCTCCCCCTCGGCTCGAGATGTACCTCTTCTAGGTACCGAGATGTACCCCCGTCCAGGATGTCTTTTCTCTGCTCCAGTATAAGCTATTGATGTACAAGTCATTAGCCTAGGCTAGTCTAGATTAGCTATCATGGTCTCGTCTTACACAATTGGTGTCAGAAGGCACAGGAAGACAGGGTCCACAGCCAATGAGGGATGGACGCGTGGCAAATTGTGTCACATCAGAGACAGAAAGACCGCATGCCCTTGCTGACACGCGATTTGGGAAAGCAA